TTTCAAACTGTGTGCCTTTGGGATTGTAGCACAGGTCCTTACCACTTGACCACCAGAGCTTCCATTTAGAAAATAAGGGAGAGTATCCATGTTCAATCATCCAAATCCTGCCAAGACCATGCTCACTACAAAGAGAGAAATACACGCCAGGTACAGTTATAGAAAATCCATGCTTGACAATCATTCCTGATATAGCTGCTCTCTGCACATTGCAAATTCATCACTTCCCTTCTCACCCCTTCCTGGGGCAGTTTATGTAGCTGAAAACTTACATTCTCCTTCTGAATACAAAAATACAGCTTTAGTTTGTAGGATGTGACTACACAACTAAATAGCAAGAGCAATACTGCCAAGTAATTAATGTGGTACACAACGAACGCAGGTCTCAAACTTCATCGTTGTCATCATCATCATCATCAGTCTGTTTCCTCAACTCTCCAAAAGAGATTGCTGGCATCATTCTCCCAAATCATTCCCTAATTCCCTTAGTCACTTATTGATTCCAGCTCACTCTTCTGATCAAACAAACGGTTCTCCTAGTAAGGCAATAGGGGGATTTCTAAGTCTAGCAAATGCAGGAATTCCATAGAACCAAGTAACAAAAGGCCTGGATGCTAAGCAGATCTGACTTCCCAGAGAGAATGGTGCAGTGGGGAGGGGGAGGGGGGAAGAGGGAGCCTTCTGCACCTATCACAGAGCAGACTGCACAACAACCTCATAGGCTCAAGTTAATTTACTTTGGCCAACCATATTTTACTTATTCCTCTCCTCCAGAAAGAGACCCGAGTCTGGGAAGGATCAAATTCCTATACACCTGATCAAAGTCCTTCAAAGGAAAGCCAAACTGAGCGAGACAGCTAAAAGGACTGAACACAGTGGCCTCTCCTGGAACAAGTTCTACTTCCCCCTTCGTCCCCAGTTTCATTTGCTAGGAGTCCAACTTCCTTTCAGCTGGAGGCCACCAGCAACATGATCCAGTGAGGTGCTGTGATTTATTTTCACCTATTTCTTTTCTCATTCTGCTGGTTTAAAGTTGTCACAGCCCAAGACAGTCCCAAAGTAGCCCTCCCTTTGAAGTATCCAGTGTTAACTTAAAAGGCTGCAAAGGAAACCTAATGAAACCATCCGCTTAGCAACTTTTTTTTCAATGAAATTCAGAATCACAACCTAACTTCTTTGTGCTCTGGAATGAACCACACTTCTTAAAAAGAAAGACCACAGAGGGTTGACAGAAAACTTGCTGCAGGGAGGAAAAACTGGACAGAGTACAGGAACTGATGCAGAAATGAACAAGCAAAACTCTGGCAGATCCATTTCAGCATTTTCTAAGCTCTCCCTTTCTATCTTATTTTCTCTCTTGCTTCATTCTCAGCTCATCGCCACCACCTAGATAAGGGCGCATTTTACAGCCTCTTCATTAGTGTCTCCTCATAAACAAGTATCCTGGGCTCAGAAGGGCTGAAGTTTCCTCTCCTGCACTAAAGGCCCACTCACAAGGACCCCCCTGAGGAATACAACAGGAGAAAGTAAGTGCAGCCTATGTTGTTTCTGGGAGGCGGGTGGGAACTCCCAGTCTGTGGAAGGCACAAGTGCCAAGCAAAGCAAATCCTCACAACTGGATGTTACAGATCAAAGCAGGGGCCACCCAAGGCCATGCATCCCCACTCCAGCCCGAGAAACGCAGAGCGCAGAGCCTGTGGCCTGTCAAAACTTTCTCTGTGTACACCCAAGGTTGAGATTAAGCATTAACTTGCTGAACTGCTCAGTGAGAGCCCGCAGGGGCTGAAATCCGACCTTCAAGACAAATCTTTTTTTATTTTTTCAATTTAAGGAATAAAATAATTCGACCTGTGCCTCCATCAGGCTCCTGCCCCACGAGCTGAAGAGGGGGGTGGGGAGGAGTGGTCCCCCACAGAAAACTGCACTCTCACTGACACCAACGGATGCCTCGCTCGCTGCCAAGCCGAACACCCCCATAAAACCAAGGTGGTACACAGGCTGGGCTTCCACGCGACCGACGGGAGGCCGAGGGAAACAAAAGGGGGCGAGGGACCCTCCGCCGGCTCACAGATGTCCACGAGTCTCAGGGACGAGGATCTGCACCGCGAGCAAAATGGATGGTTCCTCCTCCGCCCCTGTAACTCCCCACAGATTAGGTCCCCAGGCCAGCTCCGGGTCTCGCCTCCTTCCAGCTGGGGCCAGATAATAGGCCGAATAATATAACTAGTGATAGGGAAGAAGCGCCGGCTCCGGTAGGAGAAGGTTCGAAAGGCTGAGCTCAACTCTGTAAATAAACTGGCCCCGAGACCCAGCAGCTTAATAACGCTAAACCTCAGCGCCCGCCGGGCAGAGCGCGACCCCTCCCGCAGCCCCACCTGCAGCTGGCCCGGGGCCGGCCCGCGGGCCTGGGGCTGCAGGCGATGGCCGGCCGAGCCCGCCGGGCCGCCGGCGCCCCAGCCCCCGATCGCCGTCGCTCGGCTGGTCGTACCTTTGTAGCGCTCCAGCACATCCTCATACGCCTGCACGAACTCCTTCTCCTGGTTGCGGTTGGCCGGCTGCTGACCCGGCACGTAGCCGGCCATGGCCGCCCGCGCCGCGCTCTCCCTGGGCCCCGGCGGGCGCCGGTTCCAGACCCGCGCGCTGAGGCGGCTGAGGCGGCGGCGGCCCCAGCCTCGGCCCTTTGTGCGGCTCCGAGGCGGCTGCGGCACCCTAGCTCTCCGCTCTCAGGCCTCGCAGTCCCTCTGTGCTCCTCAGCCCACTCGCTCGCGGTCCGCTCGCGCTCCGCGGGTCCCGGCTCGCGACTCCACCTCCCCACCCCTAGGCTCCGCTCCTCCCTCAGCCCGCCCCGGCGTGGCGGCGGCCGTGGCGGCGGCGGAGGCGGCTCCGCCTGTCAGGAGCGCCAGGCCCGACCGGTTCCCCGCCCCTCACTCCTCCGCCTCGGCGGCCCGGCTCGTCCTTGGCCCTCAGGCTGCGGCCGGTCGGGCCTGCGCTGTCCCACACGCTTCCCCTGGTGGCTGCGGACCACAACCCAGACCGGACTGGGGGATCCGAGCCGAATGGGGTGACTGCCTGGCCTCCACTGGAGTGTCTGGGCGGGGGAGGGGGAACGGTTGGGCTCGCTCAGAGGCCCCAGGCGTGTGAGGATGAAAGGCCGGGCGAGTCCAGAGCGCCCCCCACCCTGTCGCCCCGGCCCCACTCCACCGGGTGAGAGGGCAGCCCATGCAGCCCTGACCTACACCCGGAGCTGGGACAAAGAAGGGAGCCCCCGGCTGGAGGGATGTGGTGCTGGGCCTGTGGGGTACTGGGGAAACTGAAGGGAAAGGAGAAGAAAAGCTCAAGCAAGATGCCTCAGATCCCAGAACGAGGGCAAAGGCTAGATCCTGACAGGGCTGCATTGGAAAGGGCACCCTGAGCCCACAGAGAATCCCCAGGGAACAAAAAGGGTTTCCTGAAACCAAAGGAAATGAACTAGAAAGGAGCACATTCTAGACCACGAAGTAAATCAGGCCAAGGATGAGAGCCAGAACCTGAGAAATGACAACTGTGTGAGGAATGGAAACAGGATTCTGAATTACACCGAAGAGAGGGGAGGACATCAATCTATAGAGGAAAATAAACCCAACAGGATTATTAAACTGTGACAGCCTAGGATCAAAAGAGATGTGAGAAACTGAGATTGAACCAGGACTATTAATGGAGCAAAGAATTCTGGAGCATAACTGGTTAGAAGGAGGACAGGGGAAGCCAATTATTTATTCTCTGTAAACACGGGAAAGGAAAGAGCACAGAAATGAAACAGGTAAATAAGATGTAGGGCTAGGGGAGGAAGTTCTCAACATGCATCTTCGGAGCCACCAATTGAATCAAGCCTAACATTCATGGACAGTGCTGGGCCAACAACAGTAAATTAGGGGCTCAGGTAAAAAGTGATCCATTTTGTCCACATCCACTTTCATTCAGCCTTTATCCTCCTCAGCCTCATCAAGCCCCGTTAACTTTATTTTTCAGGGAGGGGAGAGGTGGTCTTGGGTAAAAAGTGAAGCTGGCAGATCTCACAATAACAGTTCATTAGCAAGTAAAAAAAAAAAAAAAGATTCATGGGACGCTGAGCAGCCAAAATTGAGATTTGAGCTTCCATTTCAGTTCCTATTCTCAAGATTTTTCAGAGTGTCTTACCCCAAAGGCAGGGACTGTATCGTTGTACCCTGCAAGTAGTGCCAAGCATTTGGTCAATAGACAATACATAAATAAGAAGAAATGATGCTTTTCACTAACAGGTGAATGCTGGTTGTTTCCACATTGCACCATGACGAGAAATGGGATGAGCAGCACATTAATCATATCTATTTCCATCAAGTTTTGCTGGCCTGCCCAGGTCTCAGCATAGAGAGCATATACAGGGTAGGGCCTGAAAGAGGACAGGGAGGATCCTTGAACAAATGTTTATTCCACTTTAAGCCTATGTACTCAAAAAGCTAGTTCACAGATTGGTGTCAGCTGCTAATGAGCTCAGTTTAAAAAAAGGAGGGGAATAAGTTTTGAGATCTATTTTCTTTTTAAATGAAGACATATAAGACTTTTAGTGGGCAATGCAGGATGAAGGAGCTGGTGATTGATAGCATAAGCACATTTTTTTGTAAACAGCAGAGAATAGGGAAAAGCGAATTCTGGGGATCTTGACTGGATGTATCAGTGCTGAGTCACCTGCATTAACTGTAATATTTTATATGGGGGAGGGCTAAAAAAGCCCAGACACAAATATATGCATATTTACACCCACCCCCATCCCCTGGCAGACATCTACCTCCTTGTTTTCACTAAAGTAAAACAGCAATGTCCCTTCATAGACTGGGGCTAATACATGCTCCCCTTTGTGAGCGGCTTCCTCAAGGACTGCGACTGCTGCTTGCCAAAGGCGAGGAAAGAACAAGGGCAAAAGGGGTAAGAGAGTCTACTCTGGGGATCCAGTGGCTTTGTTGTAGGGGGCGGCAGAAAGGGCTGTTTCGGGGAGAGGGCAAGGGGTTGAGATTCCTAATAAGAATCAGGATAATCAGGGAAGAAAGTTCTGGTTTGAGTTGTGGCTAGAGGGCTTCTCTCAGACTCAAGTTGCTTTCTTGACAAAATTTGCATTTAAATGCTCCCTAGAGATTTTGAAGTAATGTATTCTTCTAATGAATGGAAAAGGGGAAGTCCACATGTTTGGCTGATGTTCCTGTTTTATACAGAGAAAATTTTACAAGGAGAGAGGAACAAAGTGGCTGCTGGGGGGGATGGGAAGAAGAAAGCCTAGGGAAGGGGAGGCTTTTGGTTTTTTCCAAGCAGCAGTTTAAATTTATAGCCAGACTACACAATCAGGAAGCTCTGAGGCTTTCTCCTTTTGGTCCATGATTTTCCTTTGCCCCTGATGGTTAAGACTGCTGTTGCATTTTTAAGAAGTCTGCACTGGGGAGGTGAAGGTGGCAGGATGTACTCAGGGGGACATCTAGTGGAGGAGAAAGGTAATACAGGTAAATAAAATCTCTGGCTACCACTTAAAGCCTCATCAAAAACCCATCACCTTGAAGCGGAACCACTTTGAATTTCTGTCTCTTTCCATAACCTTCCTACTTGCTTCTGGGCTATTACCCTTCCTCATTCTCCTCCTTTAACCTGGTCTAGCTCACTCTTAAGCATCCTTCTAAACTTGTGTGTAACATCTTCCTCTATAATTAAATTCTGAGCCTTTGCCTGAAATATTCTATACCCCACCCCACCCCAATTCCACCTACTGATTCGTATGCACACCCAAAATGAAGTTTTTTTCATCAACTGGACAAAAAAAAAAGGCTCCTCTCCTCAAAATCTTAACTGTATATCCTTTCTGTTCCTCCTGGGGCTCCAACCACATGTGTGGTGTGTGAGTGTCTACATCATGAGTGTCTACATCATTGCCTCCTGGATCTCCTGGTTCTCTGAGTACAGATATCTATGTCACCTTTCCTCAGCAGAAGGCCAGAAACTATGCTTTGTAGTTAGAAGATGATCAACAAATATTTGCTGAAGGAGTGGATGCCTCACAAAAGACATATTGAAGGGGGTAGAGAGGTGAAGACAATTGAGAATCCAATTCATTGTGCACCCAATGGCCAGAGACGGAGAACTTCATATGCACACAGGAAAAAGAGGTCAAAATGAGTTCTCCTTCTGCCAGTTCTCCTTCAGCCTCTGGGTTTACTCTAGCACTTCTTTAGCATGGCTCATGCTGCATTATTTTGCATGTGTTAATTATTACTTTATAATTAAATTCTTTGCTAGTACAGAGAAAGTGAGTGTGTGTTCTAGCCATTCCTCCTTGCAAAGGTAGACTGTAACCTGTTTCTCATAAGTAGCCTGGTGGAAGATGAGGAAGGTGTTCTCCCAGACTTAGGCCAGCTCTTGGGGTAAAATCATCCAGTTCTGGGTTCATGAACATGGCCTCCAGGGTTAGACCTACCAGCCTTTTGGACACAGAGCTAACCAACCCAGCCGCAGTCAAAGCTCCATTTCCATCCAGCTTCTTGAAACCCATTCTAAACTGCCTGGAGTTTCCACTGGGTATGTGGGGTAAGAAGCCTTTGTTCACTATCATACTGCCCTCTTCTGTTCAGAATGGGCAACATGTCTAACCCAAGCGGCCTGAATAGTGCTAGCCACCCAGGAAGACAAGATCCCTGCTACCAACTAGCCTCTGTCACCATAGCAACTCTCAAAATGGTTACTCAGCCATCTGGGTTACCATAGCAACTAACCAAGTCTCACCACCTTAGCCTTTCCCTAGACCTTCTCCCCTGACTTGTCAAAGCCAATACCAAAGTGTCCAGTCCCTACTGCAGGAAAGGAGTAGAAGCTGGATCCCTTGACAGGCAGCTGTTCCACAGAGACATGGTATACCTCACCCCCCCCAGGGGTTTTCAGAGGCTCAGAGGAGATAATAAGTGTTAAGGCACTCTGTGAACCTTAAAACTCACAAGCATTAGCTATTAGAGACCTTCAGCAAGTTGTTTACCTCTCTGGGTTCTAGTTTCTCCTACAGTGCAGCACTCTTACCTCCTGAAGTTATTATGAAGATTAGATTAGATTAGATTAGATAAAGTATGTAAACTGAGAAGCAGAAGGTGCCCTTGAAACTATGGCTCACATTGTGATTGGTAGTGGTAGTGTTGTTAGATGCCTATGACCCTTACAGAGGAAGACCCTGGATGAGATGGATTGACTCAGTGACTGGGGTACTTGAGGTAGAGGTGTCAGAGACAGTAAGGTTGGCACAGGATAAAGCAGGATTCAGGAATGTTGTGCATAGAGTTGCTGTGAGTCACAAGGGACTCCATAGCACATAACAACAACATGACCCTAAGAATAATGGATCTGGCCCATCAACAAATGAATGTGATAGAGAAGCTCTGACATATTCACAGAATAGAATACTACGCTGCATTGAAAAACAAGGAACTCATGCAATATTATTCAAAATGGGTGACCCTGGAGAATATGAGGACTGAGTGAAATATCTCAGTCACAAAAGGACAAACACTGCATAATGCCACTGTTGTAAAACAGGACTGACATCGGGGTTGGGGGGAGACTGAGAAAGATGGGATAAATAATGTATACTGCATTGAAATAGATGAGGGAGAAAACTGTTTAAAAGGGATATGTGATTAGGTATTTTTGTCATGACAGGAGTCCAGAGCAAAGACAGCATAGTGGAATGGACCTGGGGGGAGGGATTGTAAAACAATGGGGGAACTTTTACTTTTCAAAGAGGGGAGTGTCCTGGGGTGGGGGGAGGGATGGGCAAGGAGAAAAGTGCAACAATGAATGGAAATCCAAAGTCTCTGTAAATTTTCATTAAAATTAATTTTAAAAAAATAAGAAAAATGAATCTGAAGCCTGCCCTACCTGGGTCTTCTTCAAGACCTAAGTCATTCTGAAGTGGCTGTAGTCACTGTGTCAATGCATCCATCTCCTTGATGATCTTCCTCTCTTTCGCTGACCCTCCACCTTTCTCAAGATGGTGTCTTTTTCCAAGGACAGGCTCTTCCTAACAACATGCTCCAAAAATGTGAGATGAAGTTTCACCATTCTTTTTTTTATTATTATTTTTCCTTATTTTATTATTTTTGTGTGAGTGTACCGTCAAATCAGATCTGACTGGTACAGGAGGAGATTATCCCTCCTTCCCTGGCAGAGCATCTGGTGGATTCAAACCGTGCGCCTCTGGGATTGTAGTTGCAGCTCCTTGCCACTAGGCCACCAGAACTCCCCGAAGTTTCACCATTCTTGCCATTACATCGCACACTGGTTGCACTTCCTCCAAAATAGATGTTTGGGATATTCACCAAGCCAAACCACAATTCAAAGGCATCAGTTCTTCCTTGGTCTTCTTTATTCACTGTCCAACTTCCAAATGCATAGGAAACAACTGAAAATACCATGGCTTGCATGGTATTGGAAAGACAAAAATAGGTATCAGAAGAGACTTTGAAACAGGAATGAAAAAAAGCCGTACAAGGGGAAGGGATGCTACCACAAGATAGCTGAACAGATCAAAAAGGCCAACATGAGAAGACAAAGTACAACAAAATGTACAAAGAGCTAGAGTTAGAAAATCAAAAGGAAAGAACACACTTGGCATTTCTCGAGCCCAAAGAACTAAAGAACAAATTCAAACCTTGAGTTGCAATACTAAAGGGCAAAATTTTGAACAATGTAGGAAGCAGCCAAAAAGATAGAAAGAATATAGTCTGTGCCACAAAGAACTGGGTAATATTGAACCATTTCCAGAAGTAGCATATGATCAAGAACCAATAGAAGGAAGTACTAAAGGAAGAAGTTCAAGCTGCACTGAAGGCATTGGAAAAAAATAAGGCCCCCGGAATTGGTAGAATACCAATTGAGATGTTTCAGGAAACAATGAAACCCTGGAGGTCATCAGTCTGTGCCAAGAAATTTGGAAGACATCTTTCTGACCAACAGGCTGGAAGAAATGACTCACAGTGACCCTAGCTAGGAATAGGTCTACACCTTGTCCTATCCTGTGCCATCCTCATGATCTGTGCTTTGCTTGAGCCCATTGTTATAGTTACTGTGTCAATTCATCACCTTGAGGATCATCCTCTCCTTCACTGACTCCCCTTCCCAGCATCATGTGTTTTTCTAAGAACTGGCCCCTCCTGGCAACATGCCCAAAGTATGTGGGATGAAGTTTCATCATCCTTGCCTCTAAAAAGCATCTTGGTTGCACTCCCTCCGAGACAAATTTATTCCTAGACTAACAATGGACCTATGCCTTCTCTAGGTATAGGTCCCATTTGCCTCCAAGACGCCTTATAAGAACACTTTAATTTTCCTTTTTTAAAAGAATTAAGCCAACAGCAACTCCACTCAATCACATCCAATATCCCTTCCCTGCTCTGAAAGAAGAGTCTCATGAAGCTCAGAAGACCTCTGAGAGTCCTACCAAAATGGATCTTTTAAATGCACTTTTAGGGGACCTGGAGGTATGGCTTGTTACCTGTGAAGCCTCTTTCAAAGTGAAATCAATGTCTCCTCACGCAGGACCACCTCAGGATAAAACAAACAAAAAGCACTGTCTACAAGTTGCTTCAATTCACAGCAGCTTGATAGAATCTCAGGACAATGTTATTAAATGCTATTAAGTCAACTACAACTTGTAGCAAACCTAAAAATAACTGATCTGAACCTTGTCCTATCCTGTGCCAACCTCATCATCGGTGATATACTTGGGCCCATTGCTACAGTCACTATGTCAATCCATTTTGTGCAGGTTCTTTTCTTTCAGTGACCCTCTCCACCTTTCTAAGCATGACATCTTTTCCCAAGCATTGCCCCTCCTAACAATGTGCCTATAGTATGTGAGATGAAGTTTCACCATCTTTGCCTTAAAAAGAACCATTGTACTTTCTCCAAAATATATTGTTTGTCCATTTGGCAATCCAAACGATATTCAGTAGTCTTCTCCAACACCAAAACTTAAAGACATCAATTCTACTTCTGTTACCCTTAGTCACTGTTCAACTTTCAGATGCACAGCAAGTCACTGAAAAGACCATGGCTTGGATCAGATATACTTTAGTCTTCAAATTGTTCTTCAGCACTTTGGAGAGGTCACTATAGTATGTTTTCCCAATCAAAAGCCTTGGTACCAGCAGTTAAGAAATCAAAAGATGCGTTTCATTGGGAAAATTCTTTAAAGGGACAGTGGCAGGCAACCTGAAAGGTCTTATTACAGTGTACAAATCTCTGAGACTGGAGAAGGCCTGGATAATGGTAGCAACTGCTCTACTGAGATCAGAGCATGAGAGCAGCCTGGTGCACAGCACAGTTCACTACAGAAACCGTTCCCTCCATGATTTCAATGCCCTCCATGATTTCTAAGCCTCCACTACTATCACATCTTAATTTCTACCTTTCAAGATTTACTCATTTTCCGACACTTTCTTC